GCAAAAAATGTTTTGTTAACCCTGTCAATTGGAATGGTTGAATTGTTTGTGATGAGTAGTATCCTCTAGGCTGCTCTATGAAATTGATTGTGGAACCTTTTATTTTACTTTCTATACTTTATATTGACTAATAAATTATGTCTGAATCGTATTTAATATATTATATGATGAATAATGTATCGTACGTGGTTCAGTGCAGTTTGTAGTGCACTCTGGACAGCTGACATTGCCCAGGTCTTACATCGTGAAAAAAAGATTTCTAACTACCTGTCATTAGGCTCTAAAATCAGGGTGTTGATCACTGCAGTTATTTATCGAAGATACCATTTGCCTCTGAAATAACCAGAAAAAACTACATCAATGAACAGTCAACATTGGTTTTTCGTCTTCAACAGTCTATACTTTTTCCTTTCTAAAGTATGTAAGAAAACCAACTAAGTGTTTTACAAATATACTCAGATCCTTATCTTATAAAATATAACATTATTGTGTCATTTAGTGAGTACATTCCACGTTTTGTGCGAATTTCAGTGTGGTTGGCAATATAAAATTAATATATAGCTTGTCTATCTTCTTTTTCGATCGATGTATTGTTATTTGTTTTTCCTCTTCTCTGCTATTTGCCTACTGACCTGTGACTGTAAAACAACAATAAAATATACAACTAGTTTAATGAAATTAATTCTGTAAATAATGAAAAAGTAATTAATCGTAGAAATTAATCTACATATGTTGTATCTGTTTAAGTCTCTCTCTCCTTTTCCACCTCTTATTTGCTCTGCCATTGCACCTTTGAGCTTAGCTTTCACTTGATAGTTTATATATATATATATATATATATATATATATATATATATATATATCAACCTACTTTTGCGCTTAGTTCATCTCTGTCAATGGTCAGGGCTATCATCATCCACGTTCCCATTCATTCTCATCCTTTCTTTGGTTTTCTTGTCTCTTGTTCTTGTCTTCCTCACTGTCTCTATCTGATAAAAATAATAACCATAATAATATTATTTTTAATGTTGTCCTCATGTTTTCTGTTCTGATTAAAAATAATTTTTGAAAGAAATTTACTGTCCTTTCTCCTTTTGCTTCATTAATTTCTTAGGTGAAATGAGGTTGTTTACTTCATCATGCATATATATATATATATAAATGTATATATCGTGATAGACCAGTCAGCTGTCCCAGTTTCTTTTCTTGAAATAATTAAAAAACAAACGGCCAATACTCGCTCAGTGTTTGTACACCATAATATTTTGCATATTGTCTTTATTCTGTTATCTTTCGTCTCGTCTATACGGACTCGTGAGTGTGTATGTGTGTGTATCGGCATTAATTTGAATCGTTACGTCTTCACAGTTATATATATATATATGCGCGCCAGGGTAATGACCTTAAATTTTACTCCCCTAAATGATCCATGCATTCAATGCTCAGCTTTATTCTAGCTAATTTATCATACCTAGAACTTTCTTCAACTTGGGTGTTCCCTTATGTCGTTGCATGATTCCGGTCATTGGACACACTTTCGTGTAGTTCAACTATTCAGGAGTTAAATCACCTTTTATCCTGTGAACATTATTATTGTAATAATGACTGGCCACTAGTAGTTTGTGCACGTAGTAGTGTAACGGTAGAAGACAAGAGACTTGGTAAACGAATGTTTCCTTTGAATTTTGTATCTCTATACAGCCGTCATTTGCACAGATCTTCTGTGTTGTGCTACTTGTGCCCTTCATATTGTGTTTCTTTGTGTTCTTTTCGCGTATCTCATGTTTTGCCGCAACGCTGGTTCATTTTCTCTCTTTGACGTCAAATCTATCTCTTTGCTGTTTGATATTTTTATGCCTATGAAAGTCTCCTTATATGCTACTAATAAATCCTATCAAATAGCACACGCACAGTAGTTTTGTTGGACAGGTTGATCACTACTCATATTTAGTCTAACAGGATCACTCGGAACATCTGAAAGAATTAAGAGTACCACCAATGAGCGTGGTGGCTAAGTTAAATATTTTTTTTGTTTTAATCAGTGGTCTTTGTTTGGTGCCAACCTGTTACTGAATTTACAATTTTTTAAATTTAGAATATTCCAGAAAATATGAATATCAATCATTCCAGGAAATTCGTAACATCTATGATCTGAATATTCATAATTTTGAAAAATGGTTTTGATCTATAGTAATAGCCGTCTGTGTACTACTAAATGGCTTTTGAATAAAGACTTTTGCTGTCTCTCTCTCCTTTCTCGTAATTTGAAACACTGTATTTCCTTTTAAGTGGTCCATCCTTCCACCTTATGATGAACCTATCTAGCTTACTTGGTAGTAATGTCATTCAGATGCGATTCGCGTGCTTTGCTTTTGAGAACCATAAACCTTTACCTACGTTCGTGTGCCTTGATATATATGAATCATCTCAGATAGTGAAAAATGAATGGAACACCTATACTCTTACTCGTTTCACTTATTGTGCTACTGCATAGTGATAGCAGAGAAAAACAGTGTGCACAATAGCAGTATAAAATGTATACATATATGTGAAAATTGTTTAGTGTAAGTTCAGAAATAAACTGTCTAGTTCAGTGGTTTATGAATTCTCGCTGGAGTAAACAACTGAGTTAACCCATATGGCCCTTTTTCATGTACACAGCTATAAATAGGTGTTCAGGTCAAAAGGAATGCAGTAAAATTCTATCGTTTTATTTCAAAGTTCAATATATAAGACAACGCTCCGTATTGGACACTAGAATGATTTTACACCGATTGTATTCTGCCTTCTCAAGAATAGGCAGTATGATAAACATGCCTGTAGTAAGTTAGCGGTGGAAGAGAAATGTTTTTAGACAAGGTAGTATAACATTATTTTCTATTATGACATCCTGTTACAACTTTCTTCTTGTTTGCCACAATTTATCTAAACATGTATCTTGTCAAAAAGTACACATATCAGCTGGTACAATTTAGAGCGGCTTTATTGATTATGCTTACGATGACGCTAATTATATCGGCATAGTTCGTTGCCTATGTTCACATGATATTTGTGCAAGAATTTTGACAATAAAGTGTGAATTGTAAACATTTTCTGAGGTATTTATTTTTCGGACTGCATTTACAATTCTTAAAAGTTTGTGCAACAATACATGTTACAGTATGATAGATTAAAGTAGGCAGTAGGTTCTGGAATTAAACATATATACATTTGTATTTTCATATAAGTATAAAACTTGGGCACTGTGCATTTTCACGTTAGCATTTTTAGACTGTTTCTATGGTCATCTTATTATCTTTATACGTGTACTAATGGCGTTAATTCAAACCTGTCTGTGCAGTTTTATCGCTTTTAAATGTATTCAGCAATTCTCGAAAATAAGTGAAATACATAGTAATAACAATTAAGGACACTAGGCAGGTGTCGCTGTTTTTGTGACAGAGATCATTAATAAGGTAGAAATTGTTTTGATGTCGGTAAGTACCATAAACGCCTTGGTACGTCTGAGAGTCGGCAGACTCCGGTCTTCCTCTTAGAATGCTCTCATGTGACAGCACCGGGTAAGTCCTAGTCACTGCTTTCAGGCAACAGGATTGTTCCTCACAAAAGTGAAGGGATAAACGCGAACGTCTGGCACTGACGACGGGATCGGTGGGCATGCAGGTTTACCTAGGAGAGCTGGAAAACCCTGACACCAAACCTATGATATACATGCAGTCAAGAACCTGGATGAATCGAATGGTGTATGAAGCTGTCTGGGTCACCTTCAACCATGGGAACGCAGCTGCTGGTGCTGCTCCATTGTCTTGTGGATCAGACTTTAAGCCAAAGGTTCGGATGATGATCCCTTCAGACAACCATTCGCTTTGGTCTACGTGTCCGGGTAGTATCCCAGCGCTCGCATAAACTATCTCTCGATGCCCATAATGTTCCAAGTTTTTGTTTAAATAATAATAATTCTTGATATTCAAGTAATGGTTTGTAGGGATTTGATTGGTTGCAGGATTTTCATCATGAGCTGACATTAGTTAGACAACCATTGGAAAACCTGGGAGTACTGGACAGCTGTTTCGTCCTAGTTTGGGACTGTTCATCAGTACGCACCCACCGGGATTCGAACCCAGGACCTTCTGGTTACAAGGCGAGCTCGTATACCATTAAGCCACTGGGACCAGTATTCCCAGGTTTTCCAATGGTTCTCTAACTAATGTCAGCTCATGATGAAAATCCTGTAATAATCCTGTAACAATTCAAATTGTCTAACAAACAGCCTTGATTGTATCGTTCTCAAAAGACCTCTTATTTATACTCTTCGGTTTTGTCGTTAAATAACTAACTATTCACATATGAAAATGTGTACATGGAAATACAAAAATAATAATATGACGTGGGATAGCTGACCGACCCACCATCGTCTTCCGATAACCAAAGTCCGTAGCTTGTAATCTTTTCAGTCTGACTACAACTTCATTCAATAATTCAGTAAAGATTGGAGCCTATAAGTCGGAATTTCGCCTTACGATTGTGTTTAAAAAAGAATTATTCACAAGTTCAGTATACTGTGAGCAGATTAAGTAAGCTTCGTTATAAAATTGAACCTGAATTAATCAGGCTAAAACAGATAGATTAAAGTTAAACAAAATTACTGCAGAAAAACAAAACTTCTAACTAAACTTACTAACTAAGTAACTAGAATTAAATTTCTACAATATAAAATGTCTCAAGTATGCTTTTGAACAAGACAGAAATAACAAATTTGTTGTTGTTCTTGCCTTGTTCAAGTGTATCAAGAGTAAGAATTACACGTTTTCATTGGAGGTGTTTCCTACTGATATGTTGATACACGTTGTATCCTCACCTCCAAATCGAAAAAAAACATACATAATGACTTATTTTATCCACTTGAACTACTTGCAATATATATATGCATTATGTGGTCTCGTGTAGGGTACATAATGAACTTACTTATGTGTTATTATTGTTGTTATTCTACACTTCAGGTACACACAATCCCAGCGAAAATGTTTCGTCGAGTATTAACTCTAGTACAAGCACACTGTAAACTAGGTTTAACAGCTACATTAGTTCGTGAAGATGATAAGATAACAGATTTGAATTTTTTAATTGGACCTAAATTGTATGAAGCAAATTGGTTGGAATTACAACAACGTGGTTTCATTGCACGTGTTCAATGTGCAGAAGTATGGTGTCCTGTTACACCGGAATTTTATCGAGAATATTTGAATGTAAGTTGTTAGTGTTTTATTGCTTTTTTTATATGCCTCTACAGCCTCCAAGCCCAGGTTGGGTATACTGAGTATTTCAATGAAATCTTGTAATTTTTTAATCAGTTGGTTCAATGAGAAGTTGATCGATTTCAAGGTGGTTTTCATCATTTATGAAGCATTGGACATCTATTTCTATGTAGTAAATTACATCTACCAATCATGACTTCGAAAGTAATTGATTTTCACCGAATCACGTGTCATCGAATATCAGTTTATACAGGTTATTTATGACTAACGCTTCATGCGACTGACCTACATCATGAATTAATTTAGCAATCAAAATAACTGAAGATTTAAGAGATTGTTACATTACTGACATGGGTCGAGTAGTTAGACCTTGACACTCGCTTCTGATGATAACTAATTGTTGGTTACAGGTGAATTTCCATATAAATTTTACTCTGTACTATAACTTAGTAAACCAACTATCACCTAAGTTCTAAAACTTGGTATTTGACCATTACGGAAAACACTATTGGAACTCACAGTTAGTCTTACATGCCACACTGTTCATGTGATGTGTCGAGTGATTGCATAATTTCATTGGTTTAGAGTTCTAAGTTTGTCATAACACTGACTTATTAGATCGTACACATACTGGAAGAATGTTGAATGCATTAGTTTATGATTTAAACTTCGTTTTCTCATGTGAATGAGAAACTACAGACTTTCATCAACAGCTGTCTTCATTCAATACTCAAGATCAGATGGCTAGAAAAGATCAGCAACAGGGATCTCTGCAAGCGAACCAACCAGGAACTGATTGTGCAACAAATGTGTAGGAAGAAATGGAAGTGGATTGGCCATACTCTAAGAAAACCATCAAGTAACATCATACGACAGGCTCTCGAGTGGAACCTGAACGGGAAGTGACGAGTTGGTCGTCCGAGAGTGACATGGATGAGATCATGTGAAGAAAAGATGAAAGTATGTGGGCAGACGTGGAGCCAGGTGAAAACGTTGGCAGAGAACCAAACGCAATGGAGACGCACGGCTGAAGCCCTATGTTCCTCTAGGAATTGAAGGGAAATAATAATAATTCTCATGTGGATTGCAGTACTAAATTATTAATTGTCGTTTAACACAGATTGATACTCATATAGAAAGTAATAATTTACGTGTTCAACAAGTGAATACTTTCGTCTATCTCACTTGTTTGTCATTAATAGGCTAGCGATTACGTTTGTATTATTCTGATAACTCTCAATCAATGTTTCAAAGTTTACTGATTTGACTAATTTGCTTTGGAAATTGTGTTCCGTTTAAAAAAATATAGTTATTTCAACTTGTAACATAGTAGTAATGAGATTTAGTCTATATGCACAATGTCTTTATCGCTTTTGTTATTTTTTCTATTTTACTTCTTGTGAGAATAAGTAGTCAAGGTAGTCTAGCTAATTTTGTATAAAACATGTTTTGTTAGCTTAGAGTTTCCTGTCATATTAGGCGGTTTATCATCTCGTCTGTTAACACATACACACACGTGTACTCTCTCTCTCTCATGCACACACACACACACACACTATCACTATATCTCACTAACTCACATGTCTCTATTGTGTTCTGATAACTGTATGCTGGGTTTTCGATAATAACATTGCTACAAATTCATGCTAGTTCTCATTATTATTGTTATTATTTGTCACGTTTTCCTCTTGGGTTTTGTATAGTCTGATTCTATTACTGTTGTCAAAAAAATTAGCTGTGTTTGAGATGATGTTTAGATTTATTAAACGGGCACTTTACACTCAATCGAATGGTCTTTTTCTGTAATTAGAGTTGTGTTGACATTTGTGGTTTTTTTATGTACATTTCAGTGTGAGAATAAATGCTATTTTATCACTGATAGAGGGAGACAGAGAGGAGACCAAACAAGAAATAGAAATTAGTGTGCGTCGGTGGCACAGTGGTTAGGACTCTCGCCGACCATGCACATGGTCCGGGGTTCGATCCCCTGCCGGCGCACACCCGATATCTATGGTCGGCCTGAATTTGGGCTACCGATATCCATGCTGAAAATTCCACACTTGTACTGAAAATACCGTGTGGAATCAAGCTGTAAAATCAAAATAATTTTGCCTTCTTCCTATAAGAAATTGATGCTTCTTCGATTCACATTCTATGTCATTTCTTCATCCAACTTTCATTCAGCTGTTTAGTTCAGAGTTCATTCTAACAGGATGAGATAAGTTACGTTAAAATATATCTCAGAAAATGTCTCAGCTACTACAAAACAGCACAAGTAGGTAGAGGATGCCAGAAGAACGTGGGTTTTGAAGCAAGCTAGCAGTAATCGCGCGAAGAGAAGAGTATATAGACGGCGGAAAATTTTCCAGCTGAGGAGCACTGAATCTGTGTTTATCAGCATAGTTAGCTCTGAGCTACAATCACAAACTTTTAATGTTGTAATGAACTCATTCACGTCATCAATAATTTCTTATGTCAGTCAACTATGTGGCATTTTATATTATGTCTTGCGTGTAGGATTTTTCTTTTAGTTTTCTTCTAACTGGGCTACCAATTCAGTCATGGTAGACACTGATGGAATCTGGATTACATAGGTTCACATCAACTGCATTTGTATTAGGTGTACAACTCTTTACTCTTTACATTAACACTGACCGGTTTGTAGTTTACTTGTATCAGTGAATGGTTATACAAATACGGGCAAATTTTGATTTAAATTTTTCATACCAAGTAATCATTTTCCTTCCGCATGTTTCCATTGTGGTTTTTTAAACTTGATGTTATTTAACATTTTGAAAAACTCTATTCACAGATCAAATAATTGAGCTTTCGATGGTCATTAACATATGTTGTTTATTTATTTTGACGTGAAGTAATCAGTAAATATAAGAGCTTATCGAATAGTCCTACGTATGCTTGATAATTTTTGAATTTTGCCTATTTTTAATCCATTTTTGTTTTGGTGGACAATGGCTCAATGTCGTTGAGCTTATTAATTTGTTTCCTTTTTTTATTACTGTCAGTTTGGCTTTTATGAGTAATGATTTCTGTCAAATAGAGAGATTTCAGATGAGATGATTTTATTTGTCAGTTTCTCACTGTGGTATTTTGAGTTCATCCGACTTATTCCCCTTGTCCTGACTGACAGCTACTACCCTGCCGTGTTGGTCGGGCTTACATGTCGCAATGACCCAACAAGCTGCATTGGTTGGAAATAATGTTTCTGCAGGTCCTACCATGCCAGGAAAACTGTTAGCATAGCGATTAGACTAAAAGTAGTTACCGGTATAGTGTAAGTTTTTTCTACACTATGCTGGTGGTCTGTGGGCAAAGTCGTACTGCTAGAGAACAAGGATGTAACAGCAGTGAGGTGTTATCCCTAGATGACCAGCATGCCAGCCACCTATGCTATCTCTACTCTAGAGAGTAGGTGTTAGGAAAGGTCGACCTCAAAAATTGTACATCCCGACGTACTCTACGGTGTTCCGTAGCCGGCGGTAAGTTTACCAATACGGAACCGAACCCAGAAACCAGTTCATAGAGGCCGTGTGTGACCGACCTCAAGCGGTTGTCCCCTGGCCTCTGCGGTCACGCAACACTAACTCTCTTCCTATTTCAGGTACCTCAAGAATAAATCGACTTCCACCGTGTGGGCAGCCGGGAAGTAATAACCATGCACATACTTCCAAAAGCACACGAAGTTCTCCTAATCATCCTCCTCCTTCATCTCTGTCATCCTCATTACCTTGCCTCCTTTCTACTGTCGTTGCTATTCTGTAGGCTAGTCAGTCATCTTCACTTCACTCTGTGACCACAAACAACGATGAGAGCCATAGAAACATCCCCGACAGCCTCTTAAAGCCAATTCGCCAACTTCATGTTGCAGCATTCAACGTCAGGACCCTCTTCCAAATCGGTCACCAGGCATCACTAGCCAGAACTCTCGTATCTCGAGCCATGGATATATGTTGTATTTCGGAGACACGCATAAAGCCCCGAGTATGGTTATTCACTTATCCCCGTCCGACCAACAGGGTGAATCTTCAAAATTCACCTTTAGTTTGTCAGGACACTCCTCAGGTAGCTTGCGAGGACTCACGTGTGTAGGGACAGCACTAAGTGTTAGGGCAGAAAAATCACTTCTCGGCTGGATCCCAGTAGATAGTCGTATGTGGGCAGTCCGTCTGAACGGGTAAGTTAGAAAAAGGAAAGACGGCGTTATCCATCGATGTCTTTTCGTAGTCTCCGCTTACGCCTTAACAGACTACAGTTCGGATGAATTAAAGGATGGTTTCTTCCGAAAACTGTCTAGTTTGATGCGAAAAGCATAAAGTTCAGATGTAGTTGTTTCAGCAGGCTGCTTCAATGCTGAAGTAGGGAAGTTATGCCAGACTGAGAAGTATAGTGGTAGTACCTACTGCTTTCTGTACCGACGAACCGACAACGGTGATCCTCTTCTACAGACCTGTTGAGATAATCATCTCTTCCTAGTCAGCACTAACTTTAGACACAAAGAGAGAAATCGCCTAACCAGGAGATCACGATCACCAAATCAACATTCGACTCAAATAGACCACATAGTGATTCTTGGAGTTTTTGGGATCTGTTGTTCAAAAGCTAAGTGAATGCCGTTTGCTTTATAAATGTTTCGATTATATCCTTATACACTGTAACAACAATATTAATCATACTACTTATTACTCTGCCCAAAAATAACTTTGGTAACTTTCCTTTGGATTGAATTATATCTCTATCCATTCATACGGTTAAACTTCATCAAATAACCGTACTTGCACACAATTTGTTATAATGGATTTTATGGGTCTTTTATATCCATAAATCTAACAACAATCGATGACTCCATGACTCCAGTTGCCCCCTAGCCAAAGTATTGTTTTGTTTGAATTCAGTTACCTAGATCAAATTTTACATTTAGCAGCATGAGTCGCATATATTGTGTGAGGGTCGTTCAGGTACAGTGGGTTTCGAACCCGGTATCCCACTGGCTGCTAGAAGTCAAGTGTTTATGTCAATATATCACATTCTACCCGTTAGATTGAACTCATTATTGAATCCCCTAATCTACTCACATGTTTGCATAACCCAAAGTGAAGTTGTATTCTGCCTCATTTTTATCTTTTTTTCACCTTTAGCTTGTCAAGTGCATTCTATCAATATTTTATCGTTAACATCATTCTGGAACATTACTCTGTTGTTATGGGTAACAGGGGTTATGTGTTCCTGTGTAGATAGAAAATGTCCCAATTTTTATGTGTTGCTTTTACTTTCCTCTTTTTTTATTACTGAGTTTACTTCTTATGAGTATTCATATATCATATCTCATCAATCTAGTGTATAGGAATTCACTCACTTGTGTATGTATGTATGTATGTGTGTGTGTGTGGTTTGTGTTTCTCTTATACATATCCATTTCTTGCCTTCTGTCTTTATACAGATAATATGCATACCTTTTACTTTTGTTGATTGTTTCTTGTGTATCTTCTCCATGGACAGATCTGTCTTCTTCTTTTTCTTCTACTCCTTATTGTAATGTCTCTTTTTCATCCTCAAAACGTTTAAAGAAAAAAGTGATCTCACTACGCAGTTGATTAGTTACATATATATATATATATATCGTCCATTAATGACTTTTGTACCATGCTCACATTATCTCTATTTGGTACCTGCACAACGTGACTTATCTTTTGAGTATATTACTGATTGATATTACTATGAATGTTTAGCTCACCGTCCTGTGTTGTTATTATATGCATATGATACTTAATAGTCAGTGATATTGAAGAATAGATTACAATAGTGTTTTAAGTATGATGAAAGACATTATCTTCCTACGTCTTTTAACAGAATATTTCAGTACTAAAGATAATAATAATAATTTATCACTGGAAAGCTTTATCTTGTAAGCTGTTAGTTTTAGGCGATTCTGACCAGCATGTAGAAACAGGTATTCTGTAGGCTTTGCAACTGGTAATGTCTAGCAAGGATGTCATTTTCGGTTACGATTTGACCATTCACTAAAATATCTTATACATACATACACAAGTACTAAAATGTTTGTTGTCAGTGAAGGTATGTGATGTTGATTACAAGCGCCTGGCTTAGAAATTACCATGTATATTGTGGTATATAGCGTCTCCGACGAACATATAGAGATGACAGAGGTGATGAAGATACCCAGCCAACAACAACAGACACTGATCACCGTCGATGGGAGAAATTTGAGAAAAATAACTCCTTTCGCATACCTGAAGAGGCAGAATTATTTCAACAACAAGGAGGATATAGATGTCAAAGCTAGCCAAGATCAGAAGAAGAAATCAAGACGGACATTTATCACTCAGAAGTTATTGGGAAAATCTACAACACTTAGCACAGGAAACAAGACTGGGGTTTTTTAACACTGTTGTCTAGTTAGTGCTTCTATATGGTCCAAAGACTTGACATGTGCGTTACCGAAAGCATTTCCAACAGGCTGATGAGGACTTTCATCAATATCTGCCTTTTGTTGGATTGATACTTGTGATGAAACAACCAATCAGAGAGGATAAACAACAAGGACAGTGCAGCGAACCAACCTAGAATCTATTGCTGAACAACTATACGGAAGGAAACGAAAGTGGATTGAACATACGCTGAGGAGACATCACATGCAAGACCGTCAACTGAAGCTGAATAGAAAGCAATGCGTTGAGCTGAGGGTGACATGAAAGAGCTCATATGAAGTGGAAATAAAAGCTTGTTGGAAGTCGCGTAGACAGCTAGAAATAATGATAGAGGACGGAGTGCTATGAAGGTGTGTTGCTGATACCCTACTTTTCATTCAGAAAACAAGGAACAAATAGTAATAAATACAGCAGTAATACAAACAAATTTATGGTCCCTCAAACGAAGAAAGAATCATACCTGAACGTATTAACGTATGATTATTTCATTATTCCATTCCAGTTCTTGTAGAGTGAGGCCTATGTCTTCCTTCTTTGTCAGCTTGACGAAGTAGCCTTTCTTCCTATCGGTAGGTACCTATCCTTCTTTCCAAACCTTTTGGAATAATGGCGTGAGGACATCTACCGCAGTCTCTGGGTCCGTTTTCAGTGTTCCGGAGGAGGGAATAAACTCCGTCTGGTCCTGCTGCCTTCCCGTCTGGCCTTCAGTGGCTTGACCGCACTCGAGATTTCTGCTTTGGTTGGAGGATTGGTGTCTACTGGCAGGCACTCGTGTGCGTGGTGTTGGTGGTATCTCTGGGCGAGTTGCAGGTGATGGTCGATTCAAGAGTCCCTTAAAGTGATCAACCCATTGTTTTATTTGTTTCTCCTTCTTGGTAATCAGGTCACCTTGAACATCTTTTATTGGTTTCATCATCTGGGTTGATGTCTTCCTGAATAGAGACCTGATCATCTGATATAATGTCCTGAGGTCTATTTTACGTTTAGCCTCTCTGTTCTGCTTCAGTTGTCAGTTAGTGTGTCGTAGAATTGTCGTTTGTCTTTTCTTGCACTCTTCTTCACTTCTTTATTCAGTGCAGTGTTCCTTGAACTCAGCTTCTCCTTCCGTTGTCCATCTTTGCATTGAGTCATCTTCTTTTTCCCTATCCTCCTCTCTTCTATTAGCTTCTAGGTAGTCGTCCGTTGAGAGTCATTCTTTGTCTTATCTCTTCCTTCTTCCTAGAACAGTTGTACGCGTTTCCGTGGATATCATCTTCAGAGAGTTATTGCCAGTGTCCTTCCACACAGGTTTCCTCGGTGATACCACGTAGTGTCTCCGTCTTCGCTTTGATCTGAAAGCTGCATTGAAAGTGTCTCTTGTAGTTTTGCCCTTCAGTTTCTGGATGTTGAACTTGAATTGTGGTCCGTCTGCAGTTGCTTTGAGGGATCTCAGCTTCGGCTTGAAGGTTCCTCGAACTAGAAGATTGCGTGAGTGAGCCCACATCTGCTCACTTTTTCGACTTTGTGTCCAGCAGATTGGCTGTGTCTCCACTTCCTTCATCATTATTCAGATGAAGTCTATCTGGTTTGTGGTGTGTCCGTCAGACGAAATCCATGTTGCCTTGTGTCTATCCTTGTGTCTGTACACGCTGCCTCAGATCTTTAAGTGACTGAAGGCGCAGAGGTTTGTGAAGAGTTCTCCGTTATCACTTATTTCACCGAGTGAGAGCCTCTCGACCCATGATGAGTTCTCTTCCTGTATTGTCTGCTTCCAGTTCAGCTGGCATTCAAATCGCCTATAAGGATTTTGATGCCTGCATGTGGCTGGTGTCTTGTCCATTACTGTTTGCAGTTGTCTGTAAAAATCCTCCTTCTTTTCTTGTTCCGCATTGTTTGTAGCACTGGATAATTGTGACCTTCCTTCCTTCCTTTTGTGTTGAGTTTTGCTGTCATGATCCTGGATGAGGAGATTGATTTCCATTGCATTATGACTTTGGCTGCTACTGGTGACATCGTGACTGGCACTCGCTGCCTCAGTGTGCTCGTGGTTGTCGTCTGGGTGACCATACTGGAGTATATTACTGACCCTCCAGTTGACAAATTCCATAGTCCACATCCATTGCATCTGCTCTCGCGGATTCCCAGCACTTCCATACTAAATCTTCTCATTTCTTTTGGCTACCTGGGTAGTCTTCCCAGTATCTTACATTCCACGTCCACTTCCCCATTCTTATTCTAACTCTCATTGACAGAGAGAAAACACATCGGCTGGCTGACTGGCTTCCCGAAAGTAGACTCTCACCAGCCAGCTGTGTCATTTCGCCTCTCCAATTTGAGCGAAGAATGGGATTGTTGTAATTTGAACTTTTTGTATTTTTAATATATTATTGTGCTTTGATGTTTCTGTAACAGTTTGGTAGGTTTAGTGGTGTAGGATTGCTAGCCCCACGCCCAACCCTCCCTCTTTACTCTGGCTTGGGGCCGGCTAGAAAACTAGCATGCTAGTTAACTAGGGGAAGTTAAATGTCAAGTAGATATGCAGTTATTCTCTTCCCCATAATTTGTATTTCAAATCACTTTGTAGTTAATGTGCATACATCTGCAACAGAATATATTGTGCATACATGCCTTGCAATAATAATTAAGCTGATATATATTCTTCACTGTATTGTATCATTGATTGCGTTTATGCGGTTGCTCATTACAACGTTACTCATTCATCTGGAATTAAATTTTTTTTTAAAGATGAAAAGTATGAAGAAGTTACTATTGGCTGTGATGAATCCGAATAAATTTCGTGCCTGTGAATATCTTATCCGTTATCACGAAAGAAGAAATGATAAGATTATTGTATTCGCTGATAATGTATTCGCTTTGAAATATTATGCTACAAAAATGGGACGACCATTTCTATACGGTCCAACTGGTCAAGCAGAACGTATGCAAATATTACAGAATTTTCAGCATAATCCTAATGTGAGTAATTCTTGTTTTATTGTTTATCGTGTCGTCGACATCACTGTTCTGCTGCTGCCTCTGCATATTCTGCCTACTCTTCTTCTCCTTTTCGCCAATCTTTTTTTTTAATGATACAAGTGAGATTTTCTTCACGCGTAATCTACTTGTCTGCATGATTATTCCTTTATTTTATGTTTATACATGTTGAAATCTTAGGTCAACCGAAAAAAGAAGATAAACAATAACACTTGTCTCCTGTTTAGCCTTTCGCTTATCTAATCCAAACTAAAATAATAGAAATGTCAATGAAGGTGTATGTGTGCAGTAAAACAGCGGTAATATGTATAATTGTTGTTGTTGTTGTTGTTGTTATTGTTACTGTTCTTGTTCTTGCTGTCATTATTGTTACGTTTATTTTTGTTGTTGCTGCTGCTGCTGCTGCACCCAGTTGCTCAGGTCATATTGTGTATACAATATGCTTGGTTTCATGTATCATATTGTGTGTTGGGTTGTGTTAGTGTACTCTCCATTTTTTCAGTCTGAAGTGTTATTCTTATCAAAACACAAACTTGTTAGATTGTAAGCGCCAAATGATACACTGGGATACTGCCCAAATAAATAAAATTGTTTCTGAATGTGTTTTTTATCGGTTTGCGTATATCTCAAAATTTGTTTCTTCCTTTTTTCAACAACAAAAAACAAACTTATTAGGTGCCAACAATATTTGTATCCAAAGTTGCTGACAACTCTTTTGACTTACCCGAAGAAACAGTACTCATTCAAATCAGTGCTCATGGTGGTAGTCGTCGTCAAGAAGCTCAACGTTTGGGTCGTATTCTGCGAGCGAAACGAGGAATCGATGCTGAAGCCTAAAATGCATTCTTCTATTCACTAGTGTCTCAAGATACTATGGAAATACAGTATGCTTTGAAACGTCAACGTTTCTTAGTCAATCAAGGATATGCATATAAAGTGAGTAGCAATGCAAATCTCTTTTTTATGGTTTCCGTTAAGAGAGCACGTGCTTCTTGTGCCACTCTAAATTTTAGCTCCTCATGTAATATTTTCTGTAGTATAACGAAACTACTGAATAACATGATTATTTAAAAACTAAAAATATTCCACCTCTTGATGAGATTAGTGTTGGTGACATCAACAGTCTCAGTTATGTAACTCTTTTAGTTTCATAGTTGAAAATTACAAATGTCGGTAAGGTGATTCCAGCTTTTCGAACTTGGATTCTTCTTCCTACACTATTGATAAGCTTCTCTGTTAACAGGCTGAATGTGTCTGTCCAGTTTTGCAATGGTTCTAATTGATTTAAGTGAAAGATGCAAACTGTCCATTTCAACAAAAACATGAATGATTTATTAACTTCTGATAAATGGTATGTAATATTTCACAGTATTGTTTATTGACTATAGGGGTAAACTCTTTTAGTCATTAAATTTTGTAAGTACATCCTTGTTTGTAAGGCATTCGGTGCGAATTTGCTCTTACTGTTTCGTGGGTATTTATTTTGTGTCTGTCAGGAAAGTCTAGTGTTTCGGTTTTTCTTTTATTTCATCATAGATGTACTAATGCATATGACTCTAATTGACCTTAGCGATTTACTGATTCTCTTGTTACCAACCAGTGCATAGTCTCGTCTATTTAAAATATATAGATGATACTGTCCTTCTAGGTGAAGATGCTGACAAATGCTGAGTCTTCTGAACACCTTCAGCAGAAATCCTCGGATGTTTTGCATGCAATTCGCCCTTGTCAAGTGTAAGATGATGTCACAGGACTAGACTACACTGACTTGTAGTTTAAAGAGAGTAAGAGAAGTGATTGAGCGTTTCGATCACTTAACTTATTCGAGAAGTTGCATAAACCCTGGTGGACTGATTGCTGACGTAATCTCAGTATGGATGCAAAAGCGTTGTTCAGCACTTCCGAACTTACGCCATCTCTGGTGTAGACGGGATATCCGACTGTTGATCATAGGGTATATTTACTGCACAGCAGTACGTCTGCTGGAGATGGCCGTTGAGAGTGGAGGACCTGAAGTGGCTAGCTTTGATCATGGATGTTTGTGTTCCATCTCCCGTGTTAAGTGGTGAGAATTTACTGAGTAATTTTGAGATTCGACGTAGAGTGTTAGATAGGGATGGCAATGCAGTAGTTTTGGTCGTGAAGCTACTTCGACTGAGATGGTTAGGTCGCATTTATGGCACGCCAAGTCATCATCGCTTCGGAAATCAAAACGTGGCATCAGTTCATGATTGTTGTTTGGAGCTACGTTTGGGTGTGGAGACTTCGTAACTGGGGTCCTCGGGATGATAAGAACCGATAATTAGCGACTATCGGCTAAATGGTTCATAGTCGTTCTCAATGGCTCAGATGCATCTGCTTTTTATAAACTCTCAGATCTGTCAAATTGTGATTATTCCAACCTGTACTCTTTCTCTCTCCCATACATTTCTGTTCATTATAGATCCTTTGAATTTTTTTCATTTGTCATCTTTGTGCAGTATGAAAACGATGCTGGTGTCAGTAAATAGAATTGTTACAGTGATTATTAGTGAAATGGTAGACACGATAGTTAATATGGTTCATGCAAATGATATCTACTTTCTGCACCATATGTATGTTTTCTTCTAGCTTATTTTCCGTATATTGAACCGATAATTCTCTTTTTCTCCTCTATATATCTTTGGCCGTCTCTTACTACTCACCCACTCATATTCATCTGTATAAATAGCATAGACAACAGTTATAGTAGTAAGGCCTTTTGTGCCACCGTGATAACTAAGAAGAAATCGTATGTATATGTAAATAAAATTGTTCTGGTGTTTTATTCCTCCGTGAACTACTGCTGAACTTGAAGTGGCATTGGCGATACCAAGACTGGTGTAGAAAACTTTGCTAAGAAAATCCAGAGCTCAGAATACTACCTTCTTCCCAACATCGCCTGCGAATAGAACAAGAAATGATGCTAAATTAACTGCATTCAACTGTTTACAAGACTTAAGATGTCTTTGCATAATCGTGTTCATTACTAGCTTAATTAGCAAAGCTTGCTCAACATACAGTAGTACAGACAAGAGGAAATAGCGGAGATGAGTAGCAGAAACGTAGCAACTGTCTGAAAAGTAAACCTAGAAGGTGACTTACTTCATAGACTTATAGCTTCCTTATATAAACAAACAGTGAAGCAACAGATTTTCTACGTAATCAACTGGACATGGGAGAATTGAGAAAGGTTTGAGGTAAAGCACGAAACTAGATGGATCACATATGATTTACTTTTTTGACTACAGGAGTCAAGGGTCTGAAGCAGTTCTTACAAATCTTATCGACATTTGAAGCTGGAATTAACAGTCCAACATTTAGAAGTATTGAGTATGGCAGCATTCAAGGGATTGTTTTAAGAATTCACTAGGCGATTGATAGTCTGATGAAAAAATGGCCGAAATAGCTGGCTACTATCAACTCTCTAGGGTACTGAATAATGTTAGTGAAAAAGCCTAGTCATGTGAAAATAAAGAGTGGAGAAATGAGGAAACAAAAGCCTTTCAATACATATAAGTTTCACAAGGTTTTGAAGTAGAAGATTTTCTTGTGTATACATTGTACTACTTATATTAAGTGTTTCTACGTCTACTTTATCTCTTGTTCCTGAAAGAGATTTGATTCATCATGAAAAAGGGTAGATGTAGTAGGAAGCTGTTCAATCTGCCTTTTTTTCTGCTCCAGCTCATTGGTTGTTACTTGAAATTATATGTGGTTGTGTTAGGTGGCATACATTTTGTGACTAGTCCTCAAAACACTATGGAATTTATACTGGACTGAAATTTAACACTTCAACTCCTTTCACCTTGAAATCTTTCCTCAACAGAAACCAGAACAATAACCTTTGTGAAGTTGTCTAATTCGTATTAATTCAGTTGTCCTCCTTATCGTATTTTTCTGTCCATGCTTAAATTTCAATAATCCTATGTGTGTAAGCCGATATTATGTTCTTAAGTATAATATCTCGTTTTTCTAGTCTATGTAACAGTTGAATTTCAAATCTATAGATCTATGTGAGGTTGAGAGCTAATTTAGTGCAAACCGTCAGTGTTCTCCAGTCATAGGCCAGTAGATTAGAACATTAGAAAAAGTGCATTGAATCTGTCTATTTATTGCACCTATATACATTCAGTAAATTTCTGTTTCACTGAACTAATCGCTTGACTTCGTTATTTTAATTTTCTGTGTAATCAGTAAAGTTTTAGTTACCTACCAGCCATAACAAATTGATTGTATGGTATCGTGTTGTTTGAGAGTGAATTCGACTTCTTAATTGACTTATTTTTGAAATCACCGGATAGTTAAAAGTACTTCTCTTCAGTATGCTCTTTTTTTTATCTGTACACGTAATCTCTATGCTTCACTTCTTTTCTCATTGTGTGGATTTCATTCTGTTCATCAATTTTGTGTTTATAAGAATGTCGAGAAAAAGGTGGAGAGAATCAGACTTGTAATTTGCAAATTACACAACTTTTGGGTGAAATCTCACCACAGTCTCCTTTGGAAACCGAAATTGTTCGGATATATATATATATATATATATATGTATATATATATATATATATGATATATTTGTTAATATAAACAGAAACCAAGGAAACAAGCCTGCAAACATCACAGCATATGCTACTGTCTGGCTAGTATGAATAGTTTTTGATACAACTGACATCGACCAGCAGTGCTCGCTAGTCAGATCAAAGTGGTGTGAACACAGGCGTTTCGCTCGCTTGCAACCGAGTTCATCAGAAGTTTACCTATTTGTCAATCAATTCGGAGAGTCGAACTAGTTCAAAACACGCGAAGAGAGAGAGAGAGACTTTCTTGACTTCAAATCATGTGTGGTGTCGCTGGACAGAAATTAGTTTCGCATATATTTTTCGACTTAAAATTTTCAGTATAAGAATCTTGACACTACATATTTAATCCGAGTTTATCAGCCTTGAAAAACAAACTGTCTTTTTCACGCAACAGTGGTTCGTGGGTGTTCATTCAATTCCTCTATCTCTTTTTGTTATAACAGGATGGCCTCACTAATTCTTTTAAAATCCACTTAAATTATTAATGTATGTATATATAACTAATCAGAAGCTATCTTGCTGATTCATCTATTAGTTTAATCAACCAACCTACAGCTGCTTGTGCATGTGAAATGAATTGTTTAATCCCGAATAGGAAATGCTAAACGAAATGTTTCCTTTTCTTTCCCCCTTTCAAAGATTTCTTTGTTTACTAATCAAATATTTATTTACTGTGCTGTTGTCGTTGTCGATAGCAATCTGTCTAAATCATTTTTTTTCCATTGAGTTGTTGTTTCGCCAACTTTTCAATCCTTTGACCTTTATTTAATATATATTTATCCAGGAAGAAGAAAAGATAAATAAAGTTACTTATATATTACCTGATAAATTGATAAACATGTTTGTTTTACGACAGTAATTTATTTTTCTTACTATTGTTTAACTGTGTTCAACATGTCCAGTGTGAGTAATTTTTCTATGTTGATTGAATGACCTTTCTTGTTTGATGTTACTGTCAACATCAACACTGGGACACGGGGATATCCAGAGTGTAACACTTTTCGTGGATGTTACTGCTTATCACTATTAAGATTACAGTACGAAATGAAGATTTACTATAGTTTATGACTCTGTAGTAGCATATTTGACTATACGTATACACTTTTACGTGATTACCCGTTATTCCACCTGAACAACTCAACTGGAAGAAGTTGAGTAGAGTGATAGAGCATTTGTCTTGTGCGAAAATTTGATCTGTGTTCTACTGGATTGCAATATAACTAAGTTATTCCATATGATTATTATTTATTATTATTATTGTATCCTTTAATTCCTAGAGGAACATAGGGCTTCAGCCGTGCGTCTCCATTGAGTTCGGTTCTCTGCTAGAGTCTTCACCTGGCTCCATGTCTGTCCACACGTTTTCATCTCCTCTTCACATGACCTCCTCCAAGTCACCCTTGGACAGCCACTTCGCCGCTTTCTTTCGGGTTCCACTAGAGCAATGGCTTGTCTAGTGATGTCACTTGATGGTTTCCTCAGAGTATGGCCAATGCATCTCCATTTCTTCCTGCCTATTTGTTTCACAATCGGTTCCTGCTGTGTTGGTTCACTCCCAGAGATCTCTGTTGGTGATCTTTTCTGACCGGCCATCTGATCTTGAGTATTGAGCGAAGACAACTGTTGATGAAGGTCTGTAGTTTGTTTGAGATGCTCTTTATGACGCACAGTGCAAGTCTCTGATATGTATAGTAGCACTGACTTCACATTGGAGTTGAAAGTCCGGATCTTGTTTTTCATGCTGAGTGCTGTTGACCTCCACAGACTTGAGAGTAGTGAAAGCTTGTCGTGCTTTTCCGATTCTTGCTTTGATATCCTCGTCAGTTCCGCCTGTAGTTGAAACGATGCTTCCCAGGTAGGTAAAAGAGGTTGTTTCTTTCAGGTTCATTCCACTTATGCTGGTCGTTGTCTGTTGTTCTTGTCCAGGAATCTTCATCACCACGTCTGTTTTCTCTATGTTCACCTGAAGTCCTATCTTTGATGCTTCTTTTGTCAACTTGTTGCTTTTCGCTTGCATATCTTCCAGTTTGTGGGAAATCAGACATATATCATCGGCGAAGTCCAGATCCTCCAAGTTTTTTGTGTGAGTCCATTTCATGCCTGTTTCCTCATTGCCCGCCATCTGTTTGTCGCATTACCCAGTCTACTGCAATCAGGAAAATCATTGGCGATAGTAGGCAGCCTTGTCTTACTCCCGTATTCACTTCGAAGGATTCCGTGAGTTTCCCATTGTTGATTACTTGGCATGCAGCATTGTCGTACAGCTGTTGGATGAGATGTATAATTGTCGGTGGCACCCCGTAGCGGCGAAGTAGTTGCCAAATCATCTCTCGATCGACGCTGCCGAAGGCCTCTTCAAAGTCGATGAAGTGGAGATAGAGAGGTGACTGCCATTCCAAGCTTTGTTCAATGATGATCCGTAATGTGGCGATCTGATCAATACATGACTTGTTTCTCCTGAATTCAGCCTCTTCCGGTCGAAGTTTTTCATCCAGGGCTTGTTTGATTCTCTCCAGGATGATGCGGCTTAGTATTTTGCTTGGGATGGACAGGAGCATAATTCCGCGCCAATTCTTGCATTGACTTAAGTCTCCTTTCTTTGGTAGTTTGAATAAGTATCCTCTCTTCCAATCCTCGGGTAGTTTGCCTTCTTTCCACACCTTCTCCAGTAGTGGCGTCATCAAGTCCGCTGTTGTCTCTGGGTCCATTTTCAATGCTTCTGCTGGGATTCCATCTGGTCCTGCTGCTTTTCCAGCTTTTAGCATCTTGATTCCCTTCAGAACTTCTGATTTCGTCGGGGGGTTGGTGTTCACTGGTAGCTCTGTCTCCGTTGTTGGTATTGCTGGGCGCGTCGTAGGTGGTGGTCGATTTAGGAGTCTTTTGAAGTGTTCAGCCCAGTGTTTCCTTTGCTCCACTTCTTTGGTGAGTGACTTTCCATCGTCATCTTTCACCGGCTTGATATGATTGGGTCTTGTAAATTCTAAAGTCGCTTGTTCGAATCTTTGAGTTTTGTTTCAACTTCACTTTCTATATATATATATATATATATATATATATATATGTATATATATATGTATATATATATATATATGCGCGAAATAGTGTTTACCCAATGGGATGGGTTGATCATGACTTCTTTTAAAACACACTTTACTAGCTTGCTTATCTCTTAATGTGATGCTTACTCTCCTGAAATTTTACTGGAAAGATCTTTCTGAAGACTTATGGTGATGATTGTTAACACGAACTTATATATCACTCAGTTGAATACTGGCTAGTTAGAACTGTTAGTTGAGCTAAAGCCAGACCTGTCTTTAGTAATAACTAATGACCCGATCGGTTGAGTGTTGTTGAGTCACCAGGAATCTTGAATGCAAATTGTACAATAGCGTGAGTTTTATTTTCCATTTTAATCACTACTCCCTTATCTAACAATTTGAGGAGTGTGTGAGTCTATGAAAACTCTTGAAGTTTTTGTATATTTTTTTCATTAATAAAAATGATCTCCCATTGACTGATTGAAATAATCTCATTTTTTCTCTCTCACCATTTTAGGTAATAACCAGACTAGCTGGAATGGAGAATGAATCCTTAAAGTTGAGTACAAAACAAGAACAAGCAGAGTTGTTGCATCGTGTACTAGCTAGTACCGATGAGGATGCAATGGAAGAGAAACTGCCAACTGATCCTGATGGCTTGGGCTTTTTAAACAGTCGTGTAGGCCCATCAAGTGTTATTCGTAAACCAGGTAAAATGTCCAGCTTATCAGGAGCAGACGATGCTATATACGTGGATACTAGTTCATCAGCTGCCCGTAAAGAAAAACTGAAAGAAAGACATCCACTATTTCGTTTATTTAGAAGTTGATAATAGTCCATTTATGCACAGATATTTTCGCTTGTCTTTCAGAAGGACAGAATCTGTCTGGGACATATTTTGCGTACATCTTGTACATGTCTTTTTCATGTTATTGTGACTTTTATGTTCACTGTAATTATGACATTCTTTCTTTTTTGCGTCTTTTAAAACGACGAGATTGTACACACAATCGAATTAATTAATATATATTTTCATGTGCTACGTTTACTTATTCCTACTTGATTGATTTTCAACGAATGATTAGCTTATGGTGATTCTTACATAGAAGACCGATTAATCGATTCGTTAGTGCAGTGAGTATTTACATATTCTCCTGATTACTTTATAGTGTGCATTGATGGTGGTATATAATGTTGCCTAATTCATTTGTGAGCAACTATAAGCATGAATGAACAGCTTAATAGGAGATGAAAACGTTCACTTCTTGACGATGTCAGTATGGCTATTGTGTATCTGACTAGGTTATTTTATTTTTTTACTTATTGCTTAATTTTCCCTAAGCTAGATATAATAGAGAAGATTTGTAGCTCAGGTGGATGATTTTGGTGTGGTTGCGTTCTCTGAGCTGGATGGTTTGGTTGCGAAGCTTTCATTGCTCTACTGAGCAACATCTTCAGCGCATACTTCGGTGTGAAGTGAGCTTTTAGAATTCTCTATGAGTTTATAAGTCATCTCTTCTACTTCGATTGGACTAAAACTAGCAAAAGAAACCATGGAACAACTACTCAACAACGACGAACACATACAACAATCAAAAATGCAGCATTCAAGTTGGATGGAATGCATAAACTTGTGTCTCACAACTTATTTCCAATTCAACGGCCAAATGTATGAACAAATTCAAGGGACACCTATGGGATCACCCATATCAGGATTGATTGCGGAAGCCGTCATGCAAAGACTGGAAAACATAATTCTGCCAAAGATCAAACCGAAAATTTGGATACGCTACATAGATGATACATTCGTGATAATCAAAAGAGAAAACTTAGACAATACCCACAACATAATAAACAACACCTTCAACGACATCAAATTCACAAGAGAAGAAGAATATGAAAACAAAATCCCATTTTTAGACGTCTTAATCAAACGAACAACTACAGGAAAATTAGAAACCCAAGTATACAGAAAACCAACGCACACGGATCAAATACTCAATTACAACAGTAACAACCCAACATCACACAAAATTAGCTGCATACGTACATTGTTCAAGAGAGCCAGGACTCATTGCAGCACTCCCGCCTTGAGGAAAATTGAAGAAAATCATCTTATGGACGTCTTCCAAAGAAATGGATACCCACGAAACTTCATCAAAAGACACCTACCCCCAGCTCAACCAACCAAATCAAAGGCCACCAGCGAAAACACAAAGAAAGTCGTCCTACCATATATAAAAGATATCTCCGAAATCACTGCAAGACTATTCAAACCTTTTGGAATCGATGTCGCTCATAAACCAACAAAGTCACTACACTCAGTTCTATGTAAACCAAAGGACTCAACGGCAAAAGAAGACAAAACTAACGTCATCTACAAGATAAGTTGCAACGACTGCGACAAACATTACATTGGTCAAAGTGGACGCCCTCTTCGTCTTCGCATTCACGAACACAAACTAGCTGTCAAAAGACACGACATACACTCCCTCATATCACTACATGCAGACAACCACGGGCACCAATTCGACTGGGACAATGTTCAAATCTTAGACAAAGGGAACTGCAAAAATGCCAGAGAATTCCTAGAGGCCTGGTATTCAAATGAATCAGCAATCAATAGACACATAGAGATTGACAAAATATACCAATCCATACGAAGAAATTCACACAAAAACAAAGTCAAACTTCAGGTCAAGGAAACAGCCAACACCAAAACAAGTAAACTAGAAAGTGAGAAGTCACACAAAAACAACCAATCATGTCCAAGGTTGGCAGAAGGAATGACTAACGACATTCAGACCAAAGAAGCAGCCAGCACTGAGACAAGCAAACTAGGGGATGAAATGTCACACGAAAACAACCAATCACGTTCAAGGTTACTAGAAGAGATGACTTATAAACTCATAGAGAATTCTAAAAGCTCACTTCACACCGAAGTATGCGCTGAAGATGTTGCTCAGTAGAGCAATGAAAGCTTCGCAACCAAACCATCCAGCTCAGAGAACGCAACCACACCAAAATTTCCCTAAGCTAATTTTTGTAGTCAACTAATACAAGATGAGTGAAATATCTAATAAGTTGGGTCCTTTATGTTCAAAATAAGAAAGCAGTCGGTTTTCAGCTAATGAATTCAAAGTTTCTGCTTTGATCCGTATATTGCAACCTGAGCAACTGGGTAGCACCACCCACCACCTTCGTATAATATATATGTATGATTCATAGTGCAGTATATCAAAAGTCTGTTTTCGCCAAAGAGAGTGCATTCTTTTGATGATTACAATATCCAAACAGTGTCTGAATAAGTCACAGTAATTATATGAAGTCACGTCATTTTAATTAAAATCGTATGGATAAATAGACAACCCCACACAATTCATATTCTAATATAAAATTATGTTACTCAATAAATCTGCTTTCATGCAGCTGTGAACGAATTACACCAAGTTTGTGACAGCTGATGATAGCCGCTGATTGCTGAAATCAGACAGATTCCAGATCAATAGACTTCAATGAGTCAGATGTAGTGTTGGCTTGTTTCGAGAAACCAGTTTCAGCTATTGGAAGATTTAAAAAGATGTAACCAAATTTTTAAGGTGAACTCTAGTTATTCTTGAATAGCGTGCTTTATTCTATCTTGCAAAGAGCAGCTTTTCATAACTGGTCCACATGGCTTATAATAACGATAAGTAATTAAAAACCCTCCGGAGTGGTGCTTAGTTAACATCCAGCATTTAATATATTAAAGCTTTTCTGGCTTTATAAGTTTGGAAGATTATTGTTATGAGATAAAGACGTTTTGCCTCTGTTTCCGAACAGAATTGTATTCCTACCATCCTCTTGCTTCTAAAATGCTACGTCAGTCTTATTTTCCAAAGGCGAGTGAGATCATTCTTAGTGTCAGTAAGACGTTTGAGCTCTGCGAAATAGATTAAATAACATGATTATATTTCAGCAGTTCACACACAATGATAAGTTTTTATTTTTGGTAATGTTTCGAGCAAAATTACTGCCCATAGTCACACTAACTGTTGGAATTGTTTTGTTTTCTATTCACACATTTATGATTTGTACTCATATATATTTACATATATAGTTCTTTTTTTATCCATTCATTTTTGTGCATCCATAATTATAGTCCAGGTTGATGACAGCTGTGCTGAGTCACCCTTGTTACATGTATCCGGTGTGACCTTAATGAATACAGATTCTGTTATTAGTCTTTTTTTCCGTTTGTTTATATTAGTTTTCAGGATACAGACATTGTTGCAAACAATATTGTGGCTTTTGCCCGTTGCATATGCAGCTAGCTATAGACGATTTTTTTCCAAATTGTTGTAAGCTTGTGTTCCTGTGAGATGAAGTTTAGTTAGGTGTTCATGTTCATTCACTCTTATTTTGAGTGATCTGGACGTTTGACATATTTAGTCGAACACTCGCCACAAGATATTTTGTAAATTACATTATTTTTAGGCATTCGATATTGAAATTGCGATGGTTTATACATCGAGATTCAACTTGATATAAATGTGTGAGTTTGTTGGCCAGTCTTTTAATGGGAAGACCATAAGTAGAATTAATGTCGAATTTTCAATATCAAATGGGTAATAAATGGAATTATTCCTATGTATATGAGATAAAAATCACCTACATCCACTGATACAGCAGATGCAACTCTCATATATGCCTTAGAAATATACATCAAAGAAAAGCTACATGGTATTATGCGAAAGTTATTTACAGTAAGGAAAGATATCAATGAAGCAAACGAAAATTTGAAACGAGCGATTGAGAAGAAAAGGTATGAAAGCGTACTAGAGGTTGCACTAAAACGAAAACAAACTACCTATGAAGAAAAAAATCAATAGACGTAATAAACTCATGGTCGCAAAAAGCATGAATGACATACAAGTAACTAAAACCAATTGGATCGTAAACATGTCAGACAGAAGGCTAAGAGAATCAGAGAAAAGCGTACTGATGAAAGGGATGAACTTTAATATTAGTAACAAAAGATTAAAACCTGAAGATATACCGATGGTTGATACAGCACTAGAAGCACATGACAAACAAAAAGCAGAGCTGGTACGGGCACAATGTGCCTTAACTTTTAAGAAACAAAAGGCAGATAAACTAAATGTAACGAAGGAGAACTAAAAGCACTTCAAGACATAAAAGTAGACAGATCCATTGTCATCACTCGAGCAGACAAAAGAAACACAACAGTAATACTTAACAAAACAACATATACGGAAAAGATGAATGAACATCTACAATCTGGACCCTATACCCTAATGACCAAATCATCAGATATAATCACAAACGAAACAATGAAAGAAAGAAACAGCAAAAGTAGTTAGACAGATGAAAGAAGCAATTGGTAAGTCAAAGTCTGAAATTATACTGAAATCACGTAATATGCCTAGAATATATGGCAAGATACAACTGCATAAAGAAGGGTATCCGATAAGACCGATTTTCGATTTTAGAAACACACCAACGTATATGCTGTCAAGATTTCTCTCAACAATACTAAGACCAATAAGGACAGTTCAAAGCTAGAATAGTAGATTCATTTGAATTAGTGAGACGACTAAAAGACACCAAAACAGACGAAGAGGAAATGCTAGTCGGCTTTGATGTAAATAGTCTCTATACTAAAATACCCATTCAAATAGCCATGGAGGCACTGAAAAAGAGACTAAAAGAAGATGATGGCCTGTCTATAAGACAGGACTCAGTTATCCGTAGAAGAGATAATAAAAGAATTCTGTCTAGAAACAACATATTTCACATTTGAAAGAAAAATGTGCCAACAAAATGAAGGAGTAG